CCAGGATTGTAAATACAATATTTGGTAACAAAACAGAATGACTGAAGGCACTCCAACCAACTAGTATTCTTTAACATTTATACATTAATAACGTTTTCACATACACACATATGCATCTTAGCAATGTTGAAATGGCCAAAAATTTATCACGGTCAACAACAAATGTCAAGGTCATTTATAAAGGAGAACAATGGACTGGTTGGCCCAGGTTTTCCAATCCTGATTAAAAAAATAAAAATGACACATCTTTAACATGGGCCCACCCAGATATATTCTTGACTGGGCCCTTTAAATCCAAAGTGGTACTGCATAAATAAATTCAGGAATCCACAAAAACAGGACTGGTGAGGATTAGAATGGAAACCAGTTTTATTTCCAGCAATAAGTGCCGTATTCTGTTATTTAAAAGTTTTGTAGCTGGCTGGGTGACAGGTGAAGGTGGCTGATGGGGTAGGGTGCCAGGTAGGTGAGGGGGGAGTTGGGCGTCATATAAGTAGATGAGTATTTAGGCAAGGTCAAGGGGTATAGATGGAGATGTTGGGTTTGGGAGGGGGTTGAAGTTGTGGCTATAGGGTGTGAGATTAGAGGGGGTAGAAGATGGACAGTCATGATGTAAGGGGTAAAAACAGAAATTGCTGGAAAAGCTCAGCAGGTATGGCAGCACCCGTTAATGTTAACTCTGATTTCTCTCCACAGATGCTGCCATACCTGCTGAGCTTTTCCAGCAATTTCTAGTTTTGTCTCTGATTTACCATCCGCAATTCTTTTGGTTTTTAGACATAACGGGTCTCTAGTCTGGGGCAGTATCAGGGTTTGGAAAAGTCACTCAGGGATGGGACCAATGGTTAGTCAGGGGTTAAGTTTACTACTTACTAGCCCGGAGTTATGGAAGAGTTTAATCCACCAACCTTTCCTGACTAACTATGAAGTAAATCAGAACCCTAACACCATTTTCTGAAAAGTCAGAGTTGAGCACTTTGTCAGAGGATTCCAGACGCCAGTAATTACCCCAAGGAAAGTTCAACTTGCTTGACAATTCCCACAGAGTCAGCTGTACCAAGATTTCTGCAGGGTCTCAACCCGGAATTCCAACTGACACTGCTCCAAAAGCTAACAGCCCATTGGAACTTCTGAACTGAGTGCAAACACAGAATTAAAGTGTGTGATTCAAAGAGTGAGTAGGAAAATAACACGCACGCTCTGATATCAGAATGTGCAAAGTACAAGGTTTATTTTTCAGAAAACACAGGGGGATATAGTATTCTGTATATATCATAATACTGTATTTTCACCCATGTTATGAGAGTGACCTCCAGTATGTTGAAGTGCCCTTGGTCTTTGACTTCAGGCATATAACATCCTAATGGTCACTCTCACTGGGAACGACAGTGTACATGCAGTAGACTCCTTTCTAGATTGAATCCTGTAAAAACTTTCCTTTTACATTTTTATATTGTTAAATATGTTGACATCTACCATTGAAATAACTTTGATAAGATCGTGATTGTCTTCAAAGCAACTGTCCTTCAACAACATTGATTTGATCTTACAACAGGGTTCAAATGAACAACAGAATGCAGATACATTTAATTGTTTTACAATAGTAATAACTTCTTAAAAGGCCTACGTCATCAGGATTTTTTTGTTAATCTGTGGCTTTCAAGCCAGGAAGCTTCTGTAAAATTGTGTTGAAATAACTATCCTTTAAATAAGGCTGCTCAGGCATATCAAAGCCTGCCATTTCTTTTAACCATTGATATTTTATTGACTGTTTCAAAGAATTTAAGAACAATATTTTTCTCTTCTCACTAATTTTATTACAGACATGAGTATGAAGCACTCAACGTCACTTTATACTCGCACCTGTCTTTTTTGCTAAAATTGGCAAACCTGGGATTTTTACAAAGATCACATTTTGGAAACAGTCAAAAAAATTATTCCATATTTTCCAAAAAAATTGACTTTGCCAAGTCATGCGTGACAGTAAATGGTCCATGTTTGCCATGAGTACATTATCAGAGATAAATACGTTGCTATGGTAACCACCACTTAAGCCCTTCCTTCAAGATGACACAGCCCCTTTAAAGTGACAACTCAACCCTAACTATTCTTAGGAATGCTCAAAAGACCCCACTTGCCGTTAGGGTTGTTTTACCCAAGAAATCAAAAATTAAACAAGTTTTTCATTACATTGAAGTCAATTAAAGCTTTGCTTTTTGTTTTGAAACCTCCTTTGAGAAATGATGACACAGTTACATCCAGGAAGTTCATTGCTTGCTGTGGTAGACAGCATATTACTTTGCAACAAATTTATAACAGTTTTTTTATTAATCTTTATAATCTTTATTCGGTCAATCATGCATGGACAAATAAAAGATCCAGTCAAACATTCCAAACACTTTCATGTTTTCTTTTTGGTTTGCCACTTCCCATGCCGGAAGTTTTTTTTTGTAGACAGGAAGTGATATAAAAAGACCAGCAGGGCGAAACATCAATGCAGTATTTAAGCTTGGGGCATGACATGCATTTTCTGTCAGTTGCATCAAACAAAAAGTAACTGTGGTGCATAACAACATTTCTCCCAATTATAATTAGGGTTGTGTTCTTTTTGGTACAAGTGCAAACCATCAATTAAACATAAGAACAGCTCATCAGATGCATCTTTATATAGTTTCAAAACATTCATACATTCTCAACATATTAGTTAATGCAACAAAGCCAGTTAACATTTGTTTTAAAGATTTGCAGAAGTCTTGTTTAAAAATTGTGCAAATTAGAAAAACATGAAGCATGTGAAATTTTCCTTCTAAGTTTTATTTAATTCAAGGACTCTGCCTTATACAAAATGTAACTGTAGAAACTGCAGAAGTTCAAAGTTTGGCTGATAAATATCAATCAGGCAGCAAACTGTTAATCACAGGACCTTATTAGCTCCGGTCATGTTGCATGGTTGAAACTCAGTAATTTACCCAACACTGTTTCATATATAAAGTTATCGCAACAAACTCCCAAATTTATAAATGTGTTTGTCTTTCCCTTATTAAAAATGGACAGATGATGAATGCATCGTATCAAAAAAGTGGTACCAAGATAAACAATATTCCATGCACACACTTATCACATGCTAACATTACTTCTTCAAAGTAAAACCACGAATAAACTGAATTCTGGATGTGAAAATAGTTGGGTGGGTCTTGAGTTTGGCAACCTACTGTAAACAGATGAAGGGAACGAGTGCAGTTGAAAGGTGCTTAAGCTGCACACAGAGAAAGGTGGAGAGGCCACAGGTAACAGTTGACAGTGAACTGGCAAGAGTTTCCATTGTCATTTTTTTGTCATTATTAGTTTTTTTTTGTTTACCCACAGCAGCCCCACAATACTGACTTGGGAGAAAACAATTTTAAATAAGAGCATTGACACTTTTTTGTACATTTGTAGTACACAAAAAGGGAGAAGTTTTCTTTAAACCCCCACCCCCCGTCACAATCAACTTCCAACATCACATCACAAACTACCATTTCCAAAACCATGGGAAAGTTTACCTTTAAAAAAATTCAATTCTTCTGCAAGATGTAGGTTCAATAATAATGAGTACAATTGGCGCATGCATTATTCACGATGTGAGTTTGACTTAAAATTTCCTGTTAAACATTGCTGGATTAATTTTATCAATATATATTCCCCTCCCCCACCCAGCCAAGAATGGGTTTTCTTTAAAATTTCAAATAATCATTGTGCCTTTGTTATAACGGAATCTATAAAACATTTGGTCACAATCATGCTGAAGCCTGAAACAGGAAAATCCAGCAGATAAAGCTAAAGAAAGGATGATATTCTTTTTTGCCTGACAAATATCAACTTGTTGCATAGCCCTCCTGACAAACACATGGATCATCCTCTGTAACCCAGTGTTCTTACTTCATCGTTTGACTTTTCAAAGTGCACATTTTGTAGGCTATTTCCAACATATTTTCTTGAAAAGACTTACATGACAACGGCAACAGCAATGTTTTCCCATGTATCCTTACAACATAGAAACTGTACACCATAGAACATGTGCTCATAACTGCTACAACCAAGTTTATAAGACTGGACATGCACTGTGAATTTTAAAGACAGCAGACATAATGCTGTACTGGTTCGCACATTGTTTCAGCACTGACCTTCCTACATCCTAACTTCAGAAAAGATTAAAGCCTAGCTTTGCTCATCAACACCAAATAAAGTCTTTTGGCTTTATGTTTCAAATTTGATTTTTACAACATGTCAGTACTAATTTCAAGTCCGGTTCTCAAGAAACTATTTATGGACATTTTGATTTAAACCACTAACATCATTCACCTATGCTTTTTAGCCATACCTCCCAGGGTTCCCACTTACCGGTTGAGATGCACCGAAGCAAGAGGCTGCATCTTGACTTAGGAGATATTTAAAAGGTTAGGCACTTGGAATTCAACAGTTGGAGCAAGAAATACATAGTGGAATGACATCAGGCTAACTCTTTACATACAAATGTCGACTTTTTTGTACACTTTATGAGTAACAAATGCATGCCATGAAGTTGGTGCAACTACATGAGGCTCTTCACCAACAATTTACAAAATCAGAATCACAGATCATGTTAGCACTATGGTGAGTGGAAAGTAAAAAGCAGAAATGGTCAAATAAACAAATCAACAAAATAACAACAAGGCGTGAAAAGCAGCACACTAAAAGGCCTCTGGAGCCAAAGAAATGGTGCCGACAACTCCACAACTTAAAACTGAACATGTGTGCAGAGGTTCTTGGTACAGACATGGACAATGCAGAGAAACGTGGAGACAAAGTGCAGTACGAGAGCAGAATTTGTTTACTGGCTCCATTCAAGACATTATTTTTCTCTGTTATTAACATCAAGTCTTACATTTAAAAGGTTTTGCTGTCTGTGTTAGTCTCTTGATATGCATTAAAATATCTTATTCCCCCAACCACACCCCCCCCCACCCCCCGCCATGGTACTCAAAGTCTGTGATGAAAGTAGAGCCACCTTCTCACAACCTGTATCATGAAGAGGTAAACTCATTCACCTTTTGCCCTAGTAGTTCACAAGAGCAGGCTACTGCATTTCATCAAGTTTTTTTTGTGAATATATCTGTAAAGAAATTTGGCATCTGTTGTTTTCTGAAATAGCCAATGTAGGGAGAGAGATAGAAAAACAGATGTTTTCTAGAATGAAACAGTCTTTTGTTTTCTTCACTTCAAGTGAACCATGTTTCACTTGCAAATTCAGTGCAAAAACAAGCTGAAGCAACTCTTAAAAAAAAATCAGATTTCTGGAACAATTTCCAGTTTCTAAATCCCCATGAATGCTGCATATTAATATACACTCTGAGCTCTGACAGAACACCCTGCAGATGATAAAACTCATCATATTAATGCATAATCTGTAAGAGTCTCGCTAGACCGCCATGCTAGCACCAGTCGTCTTCATCTGTTTCGCGATAATATTTCCGCTCTCCCGTGCCTGTCCCAGGACCCGTGCTCATACCCAGGTTGCAGTGGTAGCCGTTTGGGACTCTGCGGCTTTGGTGAGACTGAGATGTGAGAGGTGAGATGCAGGAAGTCCTGGGGGACCTGCCCGTAGTCGTGGCAATAGCCACCTCAAAGGTCAGAGTCTCTTCTGGCGGTGCGCGGCCGCCGCTGTTGCAAGTTTGGTGGTGGCCCAGGTAAGGGTCCGATCCGATTCGCATCACCATTGGCTGTCTGCTCTCGTCGCTAGCGTATGATTGGTTCTGGGACTCGCTACGCAGGAAAGTGTTGTGCTCTGACTGTCCACGGCTGAGTCTCCCTGGGGGAGCTGGGGGCAAAACACCGTGCAGGTTGCTAAACTGAGTTGGAGAGGAGTTTGCAGTTTTGTAGGTGACGCTGGGGCGCGGTGTTAGGGGGGTCTGCGGAAGCTGCCGTCGACCACGACACGGGGTGCTCACACCAGAGACTGACTGCAGAGGGCTGCCGTTAACCGAACCACTGCCCTAGATGAAAATTGGAACAAAGCAATTCAAAAAACAAAAGAACAGACGTACAGAAAGTAAAAAAAAAAGAACAAAAAAGTCAACAGAAAAAGGACATGTAGAGCCACATGAAAGAAGAAATAAGGCGGAATGTTCAGACAGGCACCAAAATGGTAAAGTAAAGTGAGGCAAAATACACAGAGATGCAGAGAGAATTGGAAGGAAGAATGATTATCATCAGTGGCAAAATCAACTACTGAAAAAGTAGGTAAATAATTAGCAGTACTAGGCATTAAGCATACAAGACAAAACCCCAGAAGAAGCTCACCAACAGGAAGAGTGCAGAGGTAGTTAAGCAAAACAACACAACAGAAATTTAGTTGGTGCAGTATTTAAAGAATAGTAATTGAAGACAATTTGAGTAAATAGTTCATATATTTAAATCACAATTCAAAGGTGCTATTTTCATCAATTGAAAGTTGTTAAAATATGGTGCACTATTTTATTTGCAACACTGACTAAAAGTTAAGTTCTTATGGAATGATATGCCTTCAAACTTCACACTACCTGTGTGCATTAGTGAAAACACTACTATGAATTTAAGCAAGTTGCACATGTTAAACATTAGTGAACTTTCAGGCTTTTGTACTACAGAAATGGTAAGAGAATCATAAGGAATAGCAGCAGGATTAGGTTATAAGCTCCCTCAAACCTGCTTTGCTAGGCAATAAGATCATGGTGAAACCTTGACCTTTACTTTCTCAAGAAAAAAAAAGTGTCGGAATAGCAAAGTAGAAGAATTTCAAGTTGTTGTGGCAAACCAGGAGAGCAAAACAACCATTACAGTACGGTATTCACTTGAAAATTGGTGAGGTCTTTGGGATATTGGGCTACAAGCAAAAGTTACAAATACTTATAGATTCATTGTATCTATCTCTTCAAAATGGGATATTGGTATGTAAAACACAAAAGCTTTATATAAGGTAGACATATCAGTAGCCAAGGGTGAGCAAGATTCGATAAACATTGAATATAACTTCTCCTTATTACCTTCTAATTGATGTTCGTGTGAGAGCTCAGCATGAAAATCTTTATAATGTTTATATTATTTACGTATATTCTGTCTCATCTAATAAATAATTTTACAGCTAAGCCTTGTTTAGCACTCCTAATATGCATCTAGAACAGTGGTGTAATAAATGAAAGCACGCTAAACAAAATACACTTTCCCTTAAGAAAGCAAACATTCTTGAAACTACATTTATTCAGGATGAGGGCATCACTGGCTAGGCCAGCATTTATTGCCCATGCCTAATTGCCCAGAAAGTTAAGAATCAACTACATTGCTGTGGCCCAAGAGTCATACGTAGGCCAGACCAGGTAAGGATTGCAGTTCCTTTCCCCACAGGACGTTAGTGAACCAGATTTTTTTTAATGACAATTGGCAATGGTTTCATGGTCATCATTAGACTTTTAATTCCAGGTTTCTAATAAATTCAAATTCCATCATCAGCTGTGGCGGGATTTGAATCTGGATCCCAGAACATTACATGGGTCTCTGGATTAACAGTGCAGTGATAGTACCATGAGACCATCACAAATCTTTACTTTAAAAACCTACTAGCTACCTTGAACCTAAATTGACCAAAAGTCCTCTTATGAATGCTGACTCATTTACCTCCCACTCACCAGCCCTCCCACTCGTTTGCTCTTTCCCTCTCATCACTGTGAACAACAGGATGGGGCAGGGATTGCAAGACAGTCGAAACAAGTAAGGGAGAAAGTGGGGCTGTGAGAGGAAATGTCAGGGATGGAAGCCATTAGCAGAAATGACAGGGAGCAGGATGGATTTGACCATGAGTATCAGTGTACAGGATGCAAAAAGGATGAGTGGCCAACTGCCATGTAGTCCACTTAGTGAAAACTGGCGGTCAATTAGTTCAGAGATAACAAAGTGTAGAGCTGGATGAACACAGCAGGCCAAGCAGCATCAGAGGAGGAGGAAGGCTGATGTTTCAGGCCTAGCCTCAGGTTAAACCACCACTATCTATCTCTCTTGAAAGAGCATCCAATGGTCTGGTAAAGATAATGGTGACTTTACCTTTTACTGGTGCATGGAAGAAATTGAATATTCTTAATGGTACTCGGCTTTAAGCTGCCTCACCTTCCCACCTCTGTTTACTCTCCTGAGTAGGCATTACTTCAAGCATTACACAAATGCAAAATATTATTTCTAACTTCAAAGATCTCTGCACAGTCAATTTTTAAAGTATAAATGAAAATTAACTAGATTTTAAGTATGAAGAGTTCACCATAATAGAATACTATGTCAACAATTAAAATACCTTTTTAAACCTGTATTAACCCCTAACTTAATAGTTGTTTTTCAAAAGTCAAGTTTAACATTCTCATCAGCAGTTAATACCAAGAAATGACAGTCACCAGTAAGATTTCCTGCTATGTGGTAGTTTCTCCTCACCTGTCTGTGAAGGCTATAGTCTGGGCCTGCACTGGGAGATGTTGACCGGCTATGATCAGTTGACTTGGGCTGTGGGGTTTCCCGACTGCCGTATCGGTCACAGGAATAGTAACGCTGCTTCTCATTGGAGGATGGAGGTTTCCGCTCCTGTGACCTACCTCGTGCACACTCCTTTGATTGTTGTTCTTTTTGGCGAGCCACAGAACTGAGGTCATCCCTCTGGTCTGCAAGGAACATTATCAGACAGAGCATTAACACAAATCAAAATAAGACTTTTGTTCAACAGTCAGTGTCCATACGCTAGTATTATTCATGGTGTATTTGTGTAAGTATGGTGGACTGTCACTTTAAGAGTCCAATCGTGTGATGTAATGATGATGTCCTCAGCCATTTTGGGTGGAAAACAACTCTCTCTAAACTTGCTGCTTGTCGATTGGACACCTTGAGAATAAAGTTCCTGCTGTACGTAACTTCAGTCTCTTGGTCCTTCTTGGAACTTAACAGAGAGACAGAAAGAGTTACTATTTTGAATCCAGTGGCACCTGTTTGGTCCTGAAGAACAGTAATACTGGACTCGAAATGTTAACTCTAGTTCTCTGTCTACAGTTGCTGACAGACCTGCTGAGTTTCTCTGGCATCTTTTGTGTTTGTCTCAGATTTCCAGCTACTGCAGTAATTTGCCTTTATTTCAGAAAATGTAAAGCAGCCTCCAGTAAAAGATAAGCAAACTGCCGCTGTGTTTCAGAAACTTGTAACTTCATTGCTATGACTTAGATATGGGAAACAAAAATGTTATTTTGCTTTGCTGTCATGTAAATAGTTGAATCTTTGAAGGTAAATGTTTTGTTTAGAAAAAAGGAAGAAATTGTGATATGATATGCATTTACCTTTAGAGGGGTATAGCTTAAACCACTCTCAATCATTATATTCCTTGGCAGAATGTGATATATTATTCCTCATTGGCAGGCAACCTGAAGCAGCAGTGATAGAAGTAGGAGGTACTATATTTAGCTCCCAGTCGGTATTATTTATATACAGTCTTATCTTTAAGTAAAGAACCCACATTACTATTTCACCAATCCTTATGTGTGATGGGTTTACATCTAAGAAAACGAAGTAATAGGCCCCACCCTTTGTTTGTGCTGAGTTAGTTGTTCTCAGCCAGTTTGAAAAGGGGATAGGGCATATAATTGGCTTCAAAGTTGATGTAGGGAGCGAAGAATTCAGAGCCGTGATCACCACATGGCAGCTGGAAAGTGTGGATTTGAGGTAAATGTAGGAGTCAGAAATGACCACTGGCTCTGAAGAAGTCCTATCGGAGTCAAAATGTTAATTCTGATTTCTCTACATGGATGCTGCCAGACCTGCTGAACTTCTCCACCACTTTCTGTTTTTATTTCAGATCAGTAGCGTTTGTAGTATTTTGCTTTTATTTTAACTTTATCATATGCTTTATTGCTGGCTGAAAATACCACAGGCATAAGCAGCAACAAATATAGCACTCTCCACTTTTGGTTACTATTGAGTGAAACATCTATTTTTGGAACAGCTTGCTAACTCTGGCCCTATAAAATGGCATTACTTCAAAAATGAGCAAACAATTACTCTTTGGTGTCCTGACCCATATTAATCCCTTATCAACCTCAACCATTATCAATTAGTTGGTAATTATCAACTTGATATTTGTCGCAGTGTACTGAATGTCCATCTTCAGAAACATTCTGGGTACTGTACCAATGACAACAATTCTAACATTTTTATTTTTCTGTAAAACCTTTTGGGATGTCCTGAGATTGTGAAAGATGTTATTTTGAATGCAGTTATCTCTTTTTTTTTTCATTTCTGCAATGGTATAGGATCATAACGTATAACTGACATGCACCAATCAGGGAGGATGCAATAAGGGAGGATTTCTTTTCTAATCTGTCATCCCTTTGGAGTTACAAACCCACACCACAGAATTCTCAGAATGAACCGATTCACAAGGATCAGATACAGTTCTCCCGAACATGTTCAGCCAATGCTAGAGTCACATCTGCTTGATGCAGACAATTTTTTTTCCAGTTCTTTAATCGGTTCTTGACACACGTTCTTACAATTTGCTGAAGCAAGTTATTTTAATTTTCAGAGCTATGACAAACTACCAAACTAGAACAAGTTTTTTTAAATTATGTTCGCATCAGCCCAGTGATCTGATGGGATTTTAGGAGATTCCACGTTGCATTTGTACAGGAGACTATGTCTCCATGCATCCAGCTTCCAGTTATCCATCTCTCTTCAAGATGAGATGCAGGAGCTTCCTCTCTTTAATTTTCTTTTGGATCTTTTAGTTTCTGTTGACATGAATCCTTCTATTTTTATGAATGAAAATGTGTTGCAGTCCCAACATCAGAAAAAAAAAACTGACTGCAACTTAGTTGTTGCTTTCCCAATGCCATTGTAGTGATTGTAACAAGGTCAGATGGGCCTCATAGGAGTTCCTTGATTGGGGCCATTAATCTGGTCCAACCAGGGAGCCCTGGCTGACAGATAAGGCTTGTCAAGGTTCTGTTCACTGAAAGCTGGATCAGTGTCAAGAACTCTCCACGTATAAATAAAGGATGACTTGGTGATGGGATACTGTCCTCTATGGAGTTATTTCACCATTATACATTTTGAGGAGAATTTTTACGTAAGAAGATCATGTTAAAGTTGACATAAAGTGCACTAAGAGCTAGATTAAAAGTGCCCATAAATTCTTTTAGACAGCACATGTGGAGGAAACAACCAAAGGAGACCATCTTCAGTCGCATGATTTGAAGATGTTTTACCCACTCAATCTCTCTCCAACCCCCAAAAACCAAATGTACCTTTAAAGATATCCTTCTTTCAGAAAACATATGTCCTTGTCAAGTGGAAGAAACAGAAATTTCCCACATGCCTCACACAATCCCTAATTTTTCAATTTTATGGAATCCCAGTGTGTTACCTGTTTCTCCATCTGCATGCCTGCTAGGTGACCTCTCCAGTGACCGTTGTTTTTTCTCTTTTCTGCGATGGCAGCGGTGCTGATGATGGTGGTGGTGGTGATGATGAGGCATTCGTTCTGGGATAACACGCTCCAGAGAGTAATCAGGAAGATGCATTCCATGAGATCGCTGTGGCGTCAGCGTAGAGACAGAACGCTTCATGGGGCTTGTGTCTGGAATTGGCTAGACAACAATATTAGAAATACACATGGAAGTTAGAATGTCAAAGTATAGCAGAGACAATGATAACATTTTATTCTATTATTCTATTGATGATAGATATACAAGTCTACTTAATGTGATGCTTTTAAGCTTTGCGCTAAATACTAAAAAAATTAAGAAGCTGAAACTATTACTTATGTTGATTCAAATGTCTTTTCTTTACTTTGTTCAGTAGTTGTGGTTGCCTGGGCTAGTATTTATTGCCCACCCCCAACTGTCCTTGAGAAAGTGGTAGTAATCCACGTTCTTGAACAACTGGAAGTACTTAGATTATAGAGACATTCAAACAATGTAATTAGAGAGGGTGCTCTAGGACTTTGACAGAGAAAAAATGAAGGAATACTTTCTCTGTATTAAACTTTCAAATGTTGAGAAAATTGTTTATGATTTATTTTGACAAAGCAATTCATGAAAGATCACCTTTATGTTTGGCTTTCTGGTTTTTAAATATTGGTAAACACTGGATCTCTAGAGATAAAAAAAATCTTCAACCAAGTGATCTGGATTAACAATGAAATTTAGCAGTTCATCTTCTGATAGGCAGATATGTCAATCAATCAATTATATTGTAATATTCAGGCCCTACCTGATGCAGTCTGGACCTTTACTTTTGTCTCAGTGCCAGTTGTAAACAACTTTTAATGACACTTGAAAGGCTTTTTTGATACTGTCAAATAGAGTTATGGTAGCAAGTATTTTACATATTGCTATTGTCGCAAGAACGCACCTCATAAACATACTGATGACTTTAAATTGTTCGCTTCAATTATTATTTGGATAACTCAACTCAGAGTTTAACTAACAGGAATAGTTATCAATAGGAATGACTGATGCTAAGATGAATTGACCTACACTAGGCCATGATTTCTATACATAATGTGTATTTTACAATTCGTGGAAACCCCCAGTCAATTTTTATGAGCATTGCATTTCTTGATTGCATGTTCCAGCATATTTTCCTTATATTTGGTTATTGTTGTTATTATAACATTTTCATTAGTGTTTAACTTTTAACTTATTTCTTTATTTTTCTACCTCAGTACCCTTCTCCCTAAGATGGCGCTGGGAATGGCGAATTTGTACACTTTTCACTGTACTTCTGTATCCCTGTACTTGAGAACAAGTGACAATAAAACTAATTCTAATTCTGATTAAATTATCGCTCATAAGTGCATTGTGGAATGCCCAATTAATCTATAAATCATAATTTAAGCTAGAACTAGAAAGCATATAAATATTACATGGAAGTACATGCAAGCTTGATGCAAAACTAAAGTAATTTTTGTACAAGACCAAGCAATCTTTTATTGTTTACTTCTGGCTTAAATAAATTCAAACTGAACTTTTGCACTTTAACTCTGAATAGAATTTTGCATCTGTTTTTAAACACACAATGTCCTAAGTGTTACCAATTACTGATCGTTGTTGATTTCATGCACACAAATTAGGATTTGTAGTCACAACATACAATTTTATTAACAAATACAATGAAGGAGAGCATGTCTGGTAGGAGGTCTCTTTAAGATGTAACTGTAGTGCAGTCATGGATTTTATAAACTCAACCAATGCTTCAGAGGGAAGACCTTGCGCTAGTACGTGATGCAACAAATGCAATTACGGGTCTGGGGTATACGCCACATTGAAATGATGCCCAGCACCCTCAGCAGCACAACTGTAACTGTGGCTTTACAAGAAATTATAGGAAAATGCATAAAGGGCAAAGGACTGAAATAATAAAATAACATGGATGAGATACAAGTTACATACGTCAAGGACACTCCCAGATGATCGAGATGTTTTCTTCAGCAAAGGGTTGAGTAAGACGACACAGTGAAGCAGCCCATAGCACAGCATTCACAGGGTGGGGAGGGGTTAGGACAGGTGAGTCAGATGGAAACAGAGAAAAAGCACAGCAAACCAAAACACCAGATACGTTTACAAAAGCAAAACCGATCAACCCAGAATATTAGACAGCATAAAAATAAAAGTAGATATGGGGGAAGTGACAGTATTAAAAGAGAAAGATCATTAGAAGAATACAACAGAAGTCAGTTAAATAAGAAGTCAGATTAAGGGATGATGGGAAGGATTGATGAGGCAAATGTTGTTTGGGATGAGAAAGACAAAGCACAAAACATTATGAAATGTTATAGCAATTGAGCTCACAATAACAAGCAATTGCAAGTCTGTTTTTGTCAAATGATTTAACCAGCCTGGATGAGAGAACAAGCAACATGTACTGTGATTGAAGCTGATTGTTTAATTAAAAAGAAAAGGAATATTACAAATAGAATGAGTTGTATCCAGGGCATTATCAAGCAATGGTATTACATTGAGACAGGAATGTAGACTCACAAAAAATATCATTGTAATGGTTAATCATTGAAAATGAATAAATCCTGGAAACACAAACTGCGTTTGAAAGCATAAAACATCAATCTCAGGTGAATAAACTGAACCAGCGTACGGGCTTCACCATCAGCAGAAAAGTGAAGAGATTTGTTTTAAATCTTTGGAGGAAGCTTCATCTTAGTGGCATGCAGAGATCAAATCTTAAAATTGTGAATGATTTTGGTCAGTCTTTAGTTTAACTTCTACTATTTGATTTCCTTGACTTTTAGACTTTATTTATTGCGCACTTGTCAATTTACATACCTAAGCACTGAATACTATGTTTTCAGATGGCACCCAACAAACTAGGTGCAATGGCCTTAGTAAGAGTTCTTTATGAAGCTGATTTTAACTTATGTCTTGAATTGTAAACACTTCCAGTTTGTTAGCTCTTGTTATTATTACCAAAGAATTGTATTACTTAAATTTATCTAAATTCTCAAACGATAACATAGCCCAAAATAATCAATAAAAGGCTTATCCAACTATTTTGTAAGGATGCCCAACAACAATTTGTTAAAAAAAATCAAAGTTTGCCTGATAATAAATAATACTGAGCAGCGTGAATAAGATGTATCTTGTACATATTCTTAATGTAGTCAATTACTAATGGTCCTTGCTCACAGGCTGCGCTGAAAGAAGACAATAGTTTCATGGTCCTGACCTCTCTCTTGTGTATTTAACGTTTGTTCTCTCATGATTCACATCCACAGACTTGCCTCAATCGCATTGTTATATAAGATAATGGTTCTGAAAGGGTTAATGTTAAGGACTGCATGATGTATAGTCTTGAAAGGAGGCTAGCTCAAGATCCTGATGGGATCAGATGTGTCATTCCTGGCAGTGATTATGGCTAACTAGCAATGTAAATTTTACCTATGCTATCACACGACAAACTAGATCTGGTTGTCATGACAAGTGCCACTACTTACTAACGCTCGCAAAAGGTTCACCCTCTACTACTGTTTACCAAACAGGTCCTACAAGCCAATACAGAAAGGAGGATTAGTGATAGTGCATTTCCCCAACCATTAACTGGAGTTGCCAGTCCTGCAGCACACAAAACACCGACAGCACTTTTGTGAGAATTTTGCCGTGTACAACATCCCTTTAAGTCAGGATTTGTCTAGATTCTGTGCGCACATCAAAATACTCCAAGTATATCAGCAATATCTGAAATCTTTACACTTCCCTTTTTTTGTGAATCACTTACCTGGGTCTCTGCAGTTAATCGAGGCATAGATGCTGCACGTCCTTGGCTCTCAAGGCCTGGTTGATCGATCTGGTTTGAATCAGACCCTATCTCTCTCATCTCCACAGCCTGTGTAAGAGCAAGTAAACACCAGTCCTTTTCCATTTAATTCAATTCATCATAACTTCACTGTTCAGTGAGATTAAATCTCTGCTAAAATACTTTCACCATCTAAACAGATAAATAATTAAAAACTAGCAATGCTTATTTTTCTTTGGCATTTTTTGACGTTTCAATGACAGAGATGACAAAGTATTTTATCTAAAAAATTGGAATACTGATGATACTGTAAATCTGCCAGAGAAATTCAGTAGTATCGGTGAAGAGAGAAATAAAGATGCGTAAGATTTCTCTGGAGCAGGTGTGCTGCTATCTGGTAGAAAACAAAAGCTACAACACCCGGATTAGAAGAAACAAAATGGGATTATGGTCTAAATTACTGAACTCAATGGGGAGTGCAGAAGGTTATAAAGCAGTGGTTTTACTCATCAACATAGAATCCGGACAGTGTGGGAGTAGGCCATTCAGCCCATTGAGTCTACATTGACACTCAAAAGAGATGTTTATGTCTTGTGGAAGCTCCTTTTTGTATAAGAGCATGTTTTAACCTCAAATTTCTCTAATAGTGGATTGCTAGCAATCAATGTAGTGCCATTTTAGGATTTTTAGCTGCTGATTGATGGAAATTGTGTAACTCACACCTGTCTATATAATAGGATTAGAGCCACACTTTTAGTAGTACATCTTGTCTCCTGTTTGAGGTAGGGGGGTGCAGGTGCTGGGGGAGACAGTGTACGATCATAGTCACTGCATGATCTCTAGAGACTAAACTTACAGCCTGCATTTCCATGGCACAAAATAAATGAATACTGCACGAACCAACTATGGACCATTCTCAATGTTCATTCCTTAACGTTGGCCTTTTCAACATTTCTTTTATAAAACATCACATATTGTTCTTTCAGTCACATGCATCGTATGGACAAGATGCACCTTACAAGGTCAAATAATAGCAGTAAACTTGAGATATGATTTTGGCCACAATCACTCACAGTTGTCAATGGGAATTATTAAGTGCGTTGAAGAATTATCTTGCAAATTAAATATTAACTTCGTACCTGAGGGCTGCTTTGTGGAGCTGGAGTTTCATCTGCCTGACTCAGTTCAGGCTTTCGCAGTTTGGCTTCATTAAATGCCTCCTGGGCCCGCAACCAGGGTGAGGATTCTTTCAGCCCACCTTGGTACAAACTAAATGATAGAAAATGTAATTACTACAGTGCTGCCCACTCCCACTCTGTTAAAAAAAAATCCTGCTCTGTTATAATCTGGCTGTGAACTTATTTCCAAGTAGTTTGCAATACATATATTCTTTATTCTAAGGACACACGTACTGTGGTGCAAAATTCTCAGATGTACAAAATACTTGGCCCTGATAAATTATAACGTGACAAGAATAGCGAATGTCGGCTCTATGAGGAGAAACACAATCAGATGAAGGAGCTATGTTAATAATCAGCTGCTTAAAATCAGAATGGAAACAAGTAATAATAGATTTGGCTGTGAAAAGATATTGGATATTTGAAGAATGTATTCAAAATTAAACACACAGCGATAATTAAACAATGAAAATACAGTGGCTGACTAAATAGTGTCCTCAACATTGATTAAAGAGACGAACCATCATTATTCTGCAATATCATGGTGCACAAGGAATGCATGAAGAAGAGTTTTTGCATGATTTATGACATCAAGCTATGATCAGTAAAAGGATTAACATTGCCTTGAAGGCAAAGACCCCTTTAGTGTCAATGAGGCCATTAACTATCATTCTCCAACAAATGACAAGGTTGGATATTTAAGCTAATAATCGAATAATTAAGCATCAAACAAGATTAATGTGAAAATAGTTGGCATCCCATGTGAAAGGAGCCAAATATTAAAAATGTTACTCTTAAAAACATGATGAATGCTGCTGGGAATGTCTTATAGAATCCCTACAGTGTGAAAATAGGCCAATTGGCCCAACAAGTCCACACTGACCCTGTGAAGAGCATCCCACTCAGACCCATCCCTGTAACCCTGCATTTCAAACAGTTAGCACATGTAATCCACACATCCCTGAACACTATGGGCAAAGTTAGCATGGCCAATCTAAATTTATACATCTTTGGACTGTGGGAGGAAACCAGAGCACCCAGCAGAAACCAACACAGACACAGGGAGAACATGCAAAGTCCACCCAGACAGTTGCCTGAGGGTGGAATTGAACGCGGGTCCCTGACGCTGTGAGGAAGCAGTGCTAACCCCACTGATCCACTGTGTCACCCAGGTAGAAATGTCAGTCTAGATTTTAGCCCGGAGGTGAGTTCCACAAAAGGGTGCTGTTGAGAGGGCAGAAAAGGCAGAAGAATAGTTTTCACAAACAATCTGTAGATTTTAATTGCAGAGCTTTTATAATCCTTTTTCTGTTGGTTTCTTCCCCACGGCTGCTTGATTGACAAATGGACCTCACGTAGTCAGGAGCCTACTTCACAAGGCCAAAGCCTATAAGAGCAGGTTGGTGTATTGGGAAAGTGAGAGAGATCATGAGGGAACACACTGGAAGGATTCTAATGGTGATCATGAGGGAGCAGACAGATTACTTGGGAGGAAGGTAAAGGGGAGACAGAAGGTAAACTTGGTGACATGCTGATTGTGGAGGGAACACTTCTGTTCCTTCTGACCCACAAGCTATGCTGAAAAAGCATTTAACTAATAGATTCCAGCCTTTCAGCTGTTGGTTTTCTCCAGCATTAGTTAAACCTGGTTTAAATGAATTAGGATAGAATAACTGTTAAAATGAAGGATGGCAGCCACATTATGTTATTTAGCTAACAAACCCACTTCACTGCTGGCCTGTCTCTCACCCATTTCGGTAAAAATTATAAGGTACACTGGGTAGAGACAACAAGGTGCAGGGCTGGATGAACACAGCAGGCCAAGCAGCATCATAGGAGCAGAGAGGCTGACGTTTCGGGCCTAGACCCTTCATCAGAAATGGGGGAGGGGAAGGGGGTTTTGAAATAAATAGGGAGAGAGTGGGAGGCGGATAGAAGAGGGATAGAGGAGAGGATAGGTGGAGAGGAAACAAACAGGTCGAAGAGGCGGGACTTCTTTTAAGGTATATAGTATTTAAAACGTTGGCAAGACCTGAAGCCACCCTTTTTTGGGAGTTGATGTTCAAACCATTGATTCCAAATGTGTTGAGAACAACGCATCACTAATCCTAATGAAACAGTTACAGTAGACTCCAGTTGCTCCAATTTTCACTGTCATCTGCCAAAACTTTCTCACAAGTCAAAGGAAAACAAAAATAGAGATGTGAGGAATATTTTGACATGCTGTACACCATCTGCTCCAAATGTTGGCTGTTAGGAACTCACAGAACAGAAATACCTACTCCTGCCTTTCAGTTGCATCACAAAAAAGCAATGGAGAGGTGATTCTCAATCCTAAATGCCATTGTTATAAATTACATTGAAAGCAACATTCATCAAATTCAATACTTGCATCTGATCATTCTTCTGGAACAATATTAAAGCTTGCATAGATAAGTATATTTCACCACTACAGCTTGAGATAAAAACCTCAAATTATACATAATATAAAATCCATGAATTATGCCCATGGTATTTGCAGTTAGACATTTTTTAATAAATTACTTTGCAAAGGAGTTTCAAAGAGTTATCTACATAAGGTTCTTGAGGTCATGGATAAGGAGAACCACCAGTTCCATTGGGACAACATCAAGATCCTAGGACAGGCCAAACAGAGATAAGCACGGGAATTTCTAGAGGCATGGTTCTCCATAAACATGTAGAATTAGACCTTATGTATACACCACTGCGAAGAAAAACCAGAAATGAGGTAATCAACTCCAACGGACCCCAGAATTTGAATACCAGGTGGGAAAACACAACAGCGCTTCATCGGAGGCTGCACTGATGATGTTACCCAGCAGGGTAATGAAACGTCTGCAAACTAACGAACCAGCTCGGTGAGTGAAACAACCACAGCAGTTATCTACATAATATCTATCAATATAGGAACGTTCATCTGAGGAGAACGAATAGACTATTTGGCGCCATAAGACTGCTCTGCCATTCGATACGATCTGGCTACACTGATAACCTCTGACTCCCTCACTAGTCAAGGATATTATCTATTTCTGCCTAAAAGAATATTACGACCCTATCTCGACTGTTCCCTGGAAAACAGAATTCCACAAACTCACAACCTGTAGGGTGAAAAATATTTCTCCTCCTCTTGATCTTAAATGGGACATCCCTTTTTTTTAAAAATGTGTCTTTTAGTTCCAGTTTCTATTCACCATCTTCTCAGTATCCACCTTGAGAAGTACCCTCAGGATCTTAAATGTTTCACTCTTCTCTCATCCTTCTAAACTCCAATGAATACAGTAGCAAGTTTGGCTCATGTGATAAACCCCTCATTTCAGGAATCATTTGGGTGAACCGTTTCTGAATTGCTTCTCATGTAATTGTGTCATTCCTCAAAGAAGAAGATCAAAACCACACACAGTATTCTAGATGTGGTCTCACCGATGCCCTGTACAATGATAGTAAATCTTTGCCACTTTTATATTTCACTCCCTTCGCAATATACAACAAAATTCCATTTGCTTTTCAATTTACTTGTTCTACCTAGAAGCTAACTATTTATAATTCATGCATCAGAGTCATACAGCACAGAAACAGGTTCTTCGGTCCAACTCGTCCATGCCGACCAGGTTTCCTAAACTGAACTAGTCCCACTTGCCTGCATTTGGCCCATATCCCTCTAAACCTTTCCCATCCATGTACCTGTCCAAATGGCTTTCAAATGTTGTAATTATACCTGCCTCTACCACTTCCTCTGGCAGCTCGTTTCACATATGCACCACCCACTGTGTGAAAACAGCAGGACACGTGAATTCCTCTGTGCCTCACAGTTCTGCAGTCTGCCTGCTTTTCTACTCTTTATGACAAAGTGGACAAGTTCTTCTGTTGAAACGTTATACTCCATCTGCCAAATTCCTACCTAATGACCTAACTTATCCATATCCCCTTATCATCTCCTTTTGTCTGCTTCACAACTTGCTTTTCTACCCATCTTTGTGTCATTAAAGCATACATTGGGGTACCAACAAAACATTATCGATCAAACGGTATTCGAGTTGGTGCTTCACAATGTGCATTCATCTCTAATAAACAGGATGAGAGGACAGAGAATTAAAGAATACCTCCAGCCACTTTGTGTATGCACACTGTCTAGAAAAAGAACAGTTAGAGAACAGCACTGATACATTTGGAAGCAGATCATCTATCCACCTTTATTGCCAGCAGGATTTGTAGTGTCTGAATAATTAATTAATTTGGGGTAGAAACTGGCAAGAGTAATGATTAATTTCAGTCACGCTTTGAATGCATGTAAATTGAGACTCAACAAACAACCATTCCTTGAAGTAAAATCTCCAGTTAAATCACAAAATACTGTAGTGAAGCAATAATGGTCCAACAAAACAAGAGTTCCGAAGTGATTGGTACCCCATTGATTATAGGAACATCAATAATTTCCAGAACAAGTAAACACCATTTTACCTAACATGGCCAATTCTTCTCAGTAGAAATATCTAGTACCAAATAATCCACATCAGCTATCAATCTCTCCTCCCTTCACCAAGATATCCAGTGTTCTGCTGAATTCATGGATACCTGGCATTTCCTTGTAACTCATTCCAATATGCCTAACAGGCTTGTATTGAGTAACTCTGAGAAACATCAAGACATTGAATAGAAATTTCAGATACGTACATGTTGCCACCGTTGTTGACTGCATTCTTGCTCATCGGATGAGAGGTGGACTTTGTGTTGTTCAGTGAGGGAGGCTCTTCTTGCGTGGGTGTCAAAGCTCCCACCATACGCTGAAAGAACGATGTTCGAGTCTGTATGAAATATAATACAGTGCAAGCCTGGAATGAAAGGGACTTGTGGATGCAAACCAAAAAAAAAAATACAAGCAAAATCAAAGGGCAAAAATCTGAGGAGACTGATTTGTTGCTGGATCCCACTGCTGGATAATTCCATTTGCGTGGAAATATAAACGGCTATGCAATGATGTATTGTAAATGCCACTCAGTGATAACCTGTCTTCTGTGCTTTAAGTCCTTCAATCTCACATGCAGAAATAAAGCAATTCGCTAAGAAAAATAGTGCACCACATAATGATATGTAATTACATAAAAGAAAATGGGTTATTTAGTCGGTTTAAAATTACGAGGTATTTTTAAGGAAATGTGTTCTCCAACTCATTTCTCCTGTGCTCAATTAAAGGGGTTTCTTATCAAAGGTTTGAAGGAAGAATAGAATTAAGAGAAAGTTTTTGCACATTTTAGACAAATTTCTGTCACTGAGTCCAAACAGAAATAACACAGCCATTATGATATCAACTGTGTGACACTGTACTCAAGATCTGGCCAATGTTCCATTGTGGGGATTACTGACAGTCAGGAGAGAGATGGCAGTCTGGGAGAGAGCAGCTCAACAGATATATGCAGAGGTCTGGCACAGGCTGGAGGAATGGCCAAATGAAGATGGAGAGACAAGGATCACAGAGAGTACAAAATGACATACAAAGAAATGAAGAGACTTTGATACTGGCATGAACCCGATGGACATAAAAGGTGTTGAGATATTATAAACATGCTTACATTGAAACAATGGATTATTGTTGCAAGGCAATGACAATAGTACTACTGAGAAAATGAGCAATTACAAATCCACTCCACATTGGCAGTTCTATTATTTATGATACAATTAAAATAAGAACAAGTTGCTTATACACATGGCTATTTGGGCTTTGTGTTTAGCTGTCTCCTTGGCGCACTCACTCATTAAACACACATCACCTTCAGCAGGGAGATGGCCCACACTGCAGTCCACTTTGTACAGCAAAAGCAGTAGTCAGTGCTGCACAAACCTGCAATGGTACAAAAGAGCTCGGCCTCTGTACAAATGGGATGCCTACAAATAAAATGGACTCTCAGATTTTTCTAAGATAAACTAATTATTGCAATTTTATTTTATATCTGTCTTACTTAAGGAAATATTAAATTATTTTACAGTTTAATGTGGGGATAGAAATAAATTAATGCATTTCACAGTTCCTCTGATAAGGGTCAAATCTTTATTGATCTCTCAGAAGGGAGATTCGTTTCCCCCGGCACTCAAATAATTATAATGAGTGTTTTGCTTTCTGGTCAATCTAATGAGGTAACTATGGTTACCCAGCTTTGGTCATAACACATGTTCAGGCCTCCACAGTCAGCAGACCCCTTTTCTCCAGAGGAAAACAGTATACAACATCATTAATTCTAGAAAATCACATCTGACGTGTCCTTTATTCACCTCTGCCCAAAGGCAGAGTCCTTGGAGGTAGAATTCCATTAGCTCTCTAGGCAGTGCGATGGGAACTAGCAGATAGAGCCAAAAAGGAGAGGAGACAAGTACAGAATAGAAAATTGGAGAATAGGATTTGCCACACTGAATGGAGACTGTGGGCCAAATTTTCCACCTTCAGCTTGCGAAGCGAGAATTGGGTGCTTCACAAAACACAAACTACATCACTGAGCACTGTCCAAGTGCTTCCATCATCTGCAAAAAGTCTCAAACACTAGCAGTCTCCAGGCTCCTTATCTTTCAAGTACTCCCCTAAATCATAAATCTTTTTAATTGTTCAGAATTTTCCTCAACAATAAGGAAATTCTCTTTCTTGTTAGGATTCAAGAATAAAGTCAAATAAAACCATGTGCAGTAAGTAAAGCTATGTGACTCCAATGATACATTCCATCCAGAATCTATGTATCATGGTTTTCCCCAACATTGTCACTTTTTCAGAAACAGGCGGATTTAAACTTCACCATCGGGGTGGTTACCTAGTGTAATAGGTCAATCACTTGTTGTACAACCTGCCTGAATTTTAATGTGTTTATTTCACTGGGAAGAAAATCAGGAGGCTTTTACAAAGGCTGAGCAATTGATGGTTACTATCTGAATGGTAATGAAAAATAAACTCACTCCCAATAAGTTCCTTCCTCTGTGCCCATGTAGGAGAAGAGTAACATGCACATATACAGGTAAACGTCTATTCACTTGCACACACACACACACACACACACACAACATTTACAGATTTCTTCTCAGAAAGACTTTGAAGCAGTGCTGTTATATTACTGTAGAAATCAATGCAAAGTTATCTAAAATAGTATAGTTAAAGGAAACAGCTTGGTGACTAACCAAATTTACATGTAATCAGTGAAGTTCGCTGCTGATGGAACTGGGATGGAATAATTAGTATCAAATTTGTCTGTGATGTGAACTCATTAAATAGCTACTGGGATAAGAATTTAACAAATGTTGAAAACTCCATATATTGAGAGAGAAGGAAATTAAATAGCCAGGTATTTTTGGAAGATGTAAAGTTGCTTTTTATGTTTAAACAATATAAAAGATATTTAGTGTGCTGTCTCTTATGGAAATTTAGAATCAACAGGGAAATGACCATATGTTAGTTCATGGCTCAGTCTTTCTAATTACCTGTGACAAGCTGCCTGGCTGCTGTTGTTGGATTCTTTTACTTTTGTTCTGCTTGTAGTAATCAAAAATCATCAGCGCTGCATAGACTTTCCCCACTGTCAACTCTGTGGCTGCAGAAAGGAATGATAAATGTGATAGCAATCTCCACTTTTGCAACCAATCAGGATTAATTAAGGAGCTAGCTTCGTGGAGCACTCTCTTTCAAAATTATTTCATTATCCTACATTGAACCGCTGTATTGATCACAAATTTTGGAAAGCATGCACATATAAAAATAAAATGAAAGTCAGCGAACAGTTGTACTAACTGTAAAATATCCCACAAAAGGGTGATGAAGATTCCACATGTTTGGCATTTTAGTTCGCAAAAACATTTCTATGAAAATTGATTTGCCGATAATCTTCCTCTGAAATTTCAAATCCTAAATCAAACCAATGTTTACTAACTTGGTTTTAATCATAAAGAGCTGTGGACAGGTAACCTGTATATCTTGGTTCTCATCCCTATAGTAGCAATGATAGTCAAACAGGCAGGCAATGATGTAAATTAGCAACAAATTTACAAATGTGAGCCTATATTTGCAATTAAGTGTCACCCACACAACCTCTGTGCCTAGAGAAGCATTTCTTTTTCAGTCTCCTCTCACTACATGCATTGGAAGGGCAGTTCTTGTCTGGTTCATGGCTGGCCTTTAAATATGGCACTGGCCAGGAATCCCAGGAGGTCCTGATAGTGGCCAATACTTCCACCAGTGGTGAGTGCATGATAATACATGTGAGACGCCACAGAGGCGAGGTGCATATGTAATGAGGTGAGCTGCAGAGAACAGCATGGGAACACATGAGCTCAGGAAGAGAAACTTTTCACAGAACTCCCCAAAATTTAACACGAAGCTGATTTTTGGTAAAGTAGACTCACAGAAGCCCTACAGTGTGGGAGCAGGCCATTCAGCCCATCGAGTCCATGCTGACCCTCCAAAGAATATCCAATCCAGACCCCCCCCACCCTATTCCTGTAATCTTGCATTTCCCATGGCCAATCCACCTACCCTGCAATCTTTGGACTGTGGGAGGAAATGGGAGCACCCGGAGGAAACCCATACAGACATGGAGAGAATGTGCAAACTCCACATAGACAGTTGCCGGAGGCTGGAATCGAACATGGGTCCCTGGCACTGTGAGGCAGCAGTTCTAACCATTGAGTGTTTGCACATACTTTGAGGGGGCTCTTGTGGTACAGTGGTAGTGTCCCTACCTCTAACCTAGAGGCCCCGGTTCAAGTCCCACCTGTTCCAGAAATGTGTAATAACACCTTTGAACAGGTTGATTAGAAAAGCAGGTTAATAATAAAAAATTAAGAAACTATTCAAGGGCCCTCTTGTGGCACAGAGGCAGTGACCCTACCCCTGGACCAGGTAGCCTGAGTTCATGTCCCATCTATTCTAGCGAAGTGTAATAACATGTCTGAATGGATTGATTAGTAAATAACTAAGAAGATATTCAAAAGAATCTTGTATTGTAGGGGTAGTGCCCCTACCTCTGAGCTGGGCAACTAGGTTCAAGTCCCACTTGCTCCAAAGGGCAATGATGGTAGTCATGGTTACACCCATGCCTGGGTGTCCTTGGAGAAGTGTAAACTGAATGTCCATTTGCATATTGCACGTTTTGCACCAGGCAATCCCATGTAACCACAGACTGTGGTAGTGCATGGACTCCCAGCCCAACGGTTTATTTTGTGGTGCTCTGGAGTCTGTGGACCACATACATATTGATTGTAGGTGGTTGCATTCCCTTTTTAGTCATTTGGGAATTCTTTTGGTGTTCTTTTGGTTGCAGTACAGCCATGTGCCCCTGAACTTTGGACACCTGGTGCGGAGGGGTATGAGCAAGTCGGAGGACCGCCTCGTGGATCTGCCCAAGGGCCTGGCCAAGTTGGCAATTAACAAGTCCAGGCAGTGACCAGTGAAGGGGGTCATCATAGCTGCCAGCTGTTTGACCCTCTTCCATAGCTATATTGTGCCTAGGTATCCTTAGAGAGGCAGCATGCGGTTTCCACCAATATTCTAGATGCCTTTGGTGAGAGGTGGACACCACAGGGGGCACAGAGATTTATCTCTCCTTCCAACACCATTTCAATTTAGCCCTCTCCCTCACCTTTGATGATCTGCGTTGCCGTTAACAGGCTTTCCACATAAGCTAATCGATTGGAAAACATGGATGATTTATTGGTGATAGTTAATGGATGAAAAGAATGGCACAGGTGATATGGTGATGAGAGAAAAAAATGTTCAGTTTTGTGTAACAGTATTTCTGGATGTCAAAAAAAGAAACAAATAAGAAACTATTTGAAATTAAAATCGAAAGAACAGTGAATGCTGTAAATTGGAAACAAAAACAGAAATTGTTGGAAAAGCTCAGCAGGTCTAGCAGCATCTGTGGAGAGAAATCAGAGTTAACGTTTTGGGTTGACTGACCCTTCCTCAGAAAATAGAGACAACACGCTGTGGAGCTGGAGAAACACAGCAGGCCAGGCAGCATCAGAGGAGCAGGAAAGTGGACGTTTCAGGTCAGGACCCTTCTTAGAAATGGGGAAGGGGGAAGGGAGCTGGGAAATAAGTAGAGAGAGGAAGGGTGGGGCTGGGGGAGGTAGGTATGATGGTGAAAGGTGAGTGCAGGTAGGGAGTGGTTGTGATCGGTCAGTTGGATGGTTGGGGTGGATAGGTGGGAGAGAAGATGGACAGGTTGTGTCAGGTCAAGGAGACGGGGATGAGAGGAGGATAGGCATGACAGAAGGTCAAGGATGGGGAGATTTTAAAACTGGTGAATTCCAAGTTTAGACCATTGGGCTATAGGCTCCCAAAGCAGAATATGAGGTGTTACTTCTCAAGTTTGCAGGTGGCGTCATTGTGACACAGGAGGAGGCCAGGATGGAGATGTCATCCAGGGAGTGGGAGGGGGAGTTAAAATGGTTGGCGACCGGAAGGTGTTGTTGTTTATCGCGTACAGAGTGCAGATGCTCTACAAAACGGTCTCTGAATCTACGCTTGGGTCTCACCAATGTAGAGGACACCACATCGGGAGCAGCAGATACAGTAGACCAAGTTGACAGATGCAGAGATGAACCTGTGTCTGATGTGAAAGGTTTGTTTGGTGCCTTGAATGGAGGTGAGGGGGGGAGGTGTAAGGGCAAGTGTAGCATGGAAAGGTGCCGGGGGTGGTGGGGCTAGTGGGGAGTGTGGAGCGGACGAGGGAGTCGTGGAGAGAGTGGTCCCTATGAAAGGCAGATAGGGGTGGGGAGGGAAATATCTCTTTGGTTGTGGGGTCGGATTGTAGGTGGCAGAAGTGGCGGAGAATGATACGCTGGATGCGGAGGTTGGTGGGGTGGTATGTGAGGACAAGGGGGGATTCTGTCTTTATTTTTGTTGGGGGGAGGGGGTTTGGGGGCAGAAGTGCGGGAAATGCAAGAGATGCAGTTGAGGGCATTTTTGATCACTGGAGGGGGGAGGTTGCGGTCCTTGAAATAGGAGAACATCTGGGATGTTCGGGAGTGGAATGCTTCATGTTGATAGCAGACACAGTGGAGGTGGAAGAATTGGGAGTAAGGGATTGCGTTCTTGCAGGAGAATGGGTGAGGGGAGGTGTAGTCCAGGTAGCTGTGGGAGTCAGTGGGCTTGAAATAGACATCAGTTTCGAGGCAGAAAAGCTATTCAAAGGACTCTTCTGGCACAGTAGTAGTGTCCCTACCTCTGAGCCAGAGGGCCTGGGTCAAGTCCCACCTGCTCCAGAGCTGTGTAAAACAAAACCCTGAACAAGGCAATTAAAAACTATCTAAAGAAGCTATTCAACTGATGCTATTTATGTATGGGTTCCTGTGGTTCAGTGGTAGAAACCCTCCCTCTGAGCCAGGAGGCCCAGGTTCAAGTTCCAACTACTCCAGTGGTGTGTCATAATATCCCTGAACAGGTCAGTTAGAAAATATCTGCATAGCACAAGGATTCTTGGTCAAGCACTGGATAGTGCTTTTAGCAACTGACTGTTGTATTTTCCTGTGTTATCGGTAAGTAACAAGAGTTAAACAGCTTTGATTTAGTTTACTTGAACATCTCATTCAGGCTTATTTAACCAGTCAGACTACAATTTTCAGATACACATGACTCTGCATGCAACCTCCTCCTAACTTGCTTCTGGTGGACTATGTATTACAATTGGCCATGTTATGTCATTCTAATCCTCGTCTCAGCAGCATATCCAGTTCTTAAATCAATAATACATCAGGCTTATTAACTGCAAATCGTTAAAACAATTCACAAGCACAATGACCACCATTGCACCATTTCATTTAATTTCTTAGTTCTCAATTTTCTTGTTTGTCCCTTTTTTTTAAGATGTTTCAAATGTTTCTAGCTATTTTTAATGTCCAAAATTTGGACTGCTGTAATGTAAATATATTTACAAATACTTGCTTTATAAAAAGCTACAACTTAAGGCGTGGCTCTTCACCTAAGTTCTCAGTAATAAACTAACTGATCAGTTGTTGAATTTAGGGGGAGGTCAGGTACTTCGGCTCATTTGTTTAAATTCAGCCAATTTATCAACTGAAATTGTGTCATGAAAATATCGCCTCATTAAACCCAACTGAAGAGATTTTATGTCTTTCAGGCAAAACCCAACCCTTCAAACTGAGGAAGAGTACTTACGTCTATGTGGAGGCACCAGTATATCCAAAACCTTCTGAGATAGATTTGGCCAAACAGCAGTCAATTCCTTCCGAAGCTCAGCATCACATTGTTGCTGGTATGAACCTCCTATGGGAGAAAACAAGCACAGTCAGACTCTGCCCCTGCTCCAGTGTACATATAAACTATTGTACTGTATCCATTCTGATCTAGCTCCAGGCAAACAGCAGCTGTATTTCTGTTCACTGTGTGTCCAAGGCTAAATGAAAAGACCTAAACCCTTGGGATTAATGCTGTGAAACAACAAGCTGTCCATTCATTAGCCATCTACCTTGACAATGCATGACAAAAACAATCCTCCAGACAAGTAGTTGAATAGGAGATAAATTATAACTCTACATACTTAAGGTAGAAGGGCAGGTGAGATTTGTAAATAGCCTGTGGAATCAAAGGGACTCCTTCACAATGTAAGCATGTCCCAAGATAAGAGTAAACGTAGAGAAGGGAAAATACGGGAAAATGATGAAAGAGTGATGGAAGATAGTGAAACAGCATATGTGCCTAATTAGTAACTTTAATCGCTGCAAATGGTCAGCAGGATCAGATTCTCTCTCTTCATGCACACAATGTGAAAATACCTCAAGGAATAGATGTAAGATATCCCACAACATTCCAACTGGTTCCCTAGGCTATCATAACCAGTTATTTTATGGGATAGTCAAGTTTAATAATATTTACAATATACCAAAAGCATAATTTGACATATCTTACAGAATTTTCATTATACATTTTGATACAAGTTTTAGCTTAAAAAAGAGTTCACGTTGCTGAAAAAGGGTAAAATAAGGAAGGCTGGGTTCTAACATGAAAGGTTTGTAAGTGAATGGGAATTACTCAAACAAAGCTCTGACTTATCCTTATCTCTGAAGCATTAAAAAAAAAACAGCTGCACATTCACATGTGAACAGTTTTGGTCCTTCCCTGTCTCCTGGATTTTTGTGGGCATTCTTTAATCCTATTATCATTTGTCCATTTACTCCTCAGGTAACTGACATTGCTCAAGATGTTTCTAATTCAACCTGATCAGAGATTTTATTACAGATTTTCAGAGCCAGTAAGACTTGAACTGCTATATCTTAAGTCAGAGGTAGGGACACTATCACTGTGCCACAAGAGACCTATTACTCATATCGTTCAATTATGAACACTACCTTCTGCATACATAAACCAGAATGCACTACCTGAAAAGGAAGTTAGGCAGATTCTATTAAAACTTTCAAGAGAGATTCAGATGTATACTTGAAAATGAGAAATTTGCACAGCCAGGAAGAAAGATGCAGGATGCAAGACCAATTGACTACTTCTTTTAAACAGCTAGCACACATATGATAGACAGCATGGCCTCTTCTTTTCTCTACAGTTCTGTTGCACTCAACTTCTTTGATTTCTTGATGATGCCATTAAACGTTCCAAGTTATACCTCAGTAAAATGTAGCAAACTTCTTTAAAGTGATTTGAATGAACAATTCCAAATCCTACTTAAAGACAGAATCAGTTTGGATGCCTTTAGATTTCAGCACAAGTACACATTTCGGACAGGTTGCTTTCACTGATTGTTAGAAAATAGATAATTCCTGCATCCCTCCAGCTGTCAGAGACATTGATCTCTTTGAATGTGTAAAAGCACTCCACTGGTTCATTTCAAAATTGTGAAAACACCTAATTTCCAGATGCATAGTCCGAACACAATCATAAAGGAATCAGACATCTCCAATGGATAGCCATTTCTCACCTTCCTGCCGACTGATACTTGCACTTTTTTAGGAACTACAGTCACTTTCAGATCAAGCCTGTAATCAGCCAGGTGATGGAAGTTTGGAACTCACTGCCTGAAAGGGTGGCTTAGTAAGAAACTTTTGTAACATTTAAGTAGTACTTTGATATTCACTTGTGTTCCAATTGTCTCTAGGGATATTGGCCAAAATCTGGAAAATGGGATTGGTGTAGTCAGATCTTTGTTGACTGCATGGCTGCGATGGGCCAAATGGTCTCTTTCTGCGCTGCAAACATCTATTAGTAGGTCCCAGTGTCTCCAATGTACTTTCTGACTCATTCAGCTGTCCGTACAGAAACTATTTCACCTTCTGCTTCAAACTCTGTAAGCTTGTTCACTTGTAATGCTTGGTGTTTGTCCACCCTAGTTTCATTTTCTGCAATTATATTCCACTTCAAAATCTCATTTCAATGCTGAGAATCTTATTTTTTTAAGATAGTGTATTCTGTAAAAATAATGAAGAGACATTTTCACTGTGATTTGGCCTTTGTTGGAAGTTGTGTTTACTCCCTGGAAGAAATTCAGATGATACTGTATTTCTAATTAAGTACTATATTGTGGCATTATAAGAGACATTGAATAGTTTATCACAAGAAAACTAAATTAGCTGATCTCGATGCTTCAATACACACAAATTCCCTGAGATTTGTAATTCAATATATCTTTAATGTAAACCAAATGCAAAATCGTTTTTCTTCTTCACTGATTTAATTACTACTATATCGTTTTCAGGTAGCTCATCTTATAGAATTCCTTGTGGTCTGACCAGTGGAGCCTTTAAAAAGCATCACAACTCCTTGGCTGCAGTGCTGAAGACATGCACACTAGAATTAGCCTTCCCCTTAGCCAAGCTGTTCCAGTACAGCTACAACATTGGCATCTATACAACGACATGGAAAATTGCCCAGGAAGGACCTGGCAACAAATAGGACAAATCCAAACCCAACAATTATCATATGATCAGTCTCCATCATCAGCAAAGCCATGGAAGATATCATCAACAGTGCTATCAACCAGCACTTACTTAGCAATAGCCTGCTCACTGGTCTAGACCTGAATACAATTTTGATTCAAACACAGGATAAACAGATGAATTTCAGAGATGAGGTGAAAGTGACTGCCCTTGACATCAAGACAACATTTGGCAGAGTGTATCATCAAGAAGCCCTAGTAACAATGAGGTCAGTTGAAGCCAGGGGAATATCTACTTAATACAAAAGGAAGATGGTGTGGCTAATAGAAACCAAACATCTCAGCTCCAGGATATCACTGCAGGTGCTCTTTGGGGTAGTGTCAGCATGCAAATACTTTCAGCTGTTTCATGAATGACATTCATAAATGGGATGTTGTTGACGTTTGCAAAATGTTCAACTCCCATTGTATCCTATGAGATACCAAAGCAGTCCATTCCCAAGTGCAGCAAGGTCTGGATGATACTCAAGACTTGGAGTGATAATTGGCAAGTAAAATTTTAAATGCCAGACAATGACTATCTACAGGAAGAGATAAGTTAACCATCCCTTTTTTTGATATTCGGTAGTATTACTGTCACTGCTCTTGCAACTACAATATTTATATTGTGGGTTCAGTTACATTTCTGGTCTTCCTACCATTAACATCCTGGGAAAGTTAATGACCAGAAATGTAACTGAACCAACAGCATAATTACTGTGGCTGAAAGAGAAAGTCAGATGTTGGGAATTCTTTGGTGAGCAATTACCAAGCCACCTGACTTACCAAAGCCGCTCCACCATTTATAGCGTACAAGTCAGGAATGTGATAGAATACTTTCCATTTGCCTGGATGAGTGCAGCTCCATCAACACTCAAGATGATGAATACCATCCAGAATAAAGACGCCCACTAGCTTAGCATCACAGAATATTCACTCTCTCTCTAGGACAGTTACTGCAACACTGGAGCAACTCATCTGGGCTCCTTAGAGAGCACATTACAAACCAATGATTTCTACTAGTTAAAGAAACAAGTGCAATAGCTGTTTGGAAATACTGTTGGCTGCAACTTCTCAGAGTCACACACCATTCTAACCAGTGGTGGCGAATAAATGCTGTCCTTGCCAGCAATGCTAACATCTCACAAACAAACAACAAAAAACTCTGTTGCAGAAGATAGTGATGCATATGTACGCAAAGTTCAGTATTTCTTATTGAAGAACAAGAAAAAGAGACCAAGTTGGGCTAGTTATCCCCACTTTAACAGTAGCACTGAAGGCTACCTGTTAAGATGATAGTGTTAATTTTTCCACATAAGCTGTAATAAGTCAGCTTCTTAAATTTTCATATACCAGCCTATTTAAATATCCAAAAAAATGTATATAGTGATCATATCTTGGTTATGTGATCTCACCATTTTAGCCTCAATATTTAAATACCGGGTACTCAAGACTGACTGCTAGAAATCTAAATGTATTAAAATATGTCTTTCAATAAAGGTTTCTATAATGTAACAGGTTCCAGCTTTAAGTAATGCAACCCGCTGTAGATTACATCATCTATGAGAAGAAGTATAGTGCTACTGTAATTCTCCTTCAGTCCTAAAATGTTGTATTAGTGACTGATTTATAAGTTGCATCGCCAAGGAAAACAAATATCTCTCAGCATTTCACATTCCTCAGCATTCCCAGGAATGGATCGGTATAGATGACGTTAATGTACAGGCTGGGTGAGAACTGGCAGTACTGGTTAACACAAAATGGCTTGAAATCAATTGAGAAAAAAATGCAGAAAGAAATGTGTCTGAGGACAAAAAAAAATGAAAATTGGCATTTTGTTGTGACTGTATAACCCATTTTTCTTGCAATATACATGATTATTACCGTATTGCTTACAATTATGTGAAGTGTAAATCGATGCAACCTCTCCAGGGTATCACGCCAACGTGAAGACCCTGACATCACTTTTATTAATATGCACAGAAACATCTATAAAAGCACTGCAACAGCCGTTCATTTGGACATATGAGGGTACACAGTAAGATTGTATTTGGATTTGGATCATCTTAAGTTCTTGTAAACTAAATGCAAGTTGCATAAATACAATATGGACAAAACAAAAACTAACTAAGGCTGGAAAACCTCCAAATGCCACTGAAGGAAAATGTTGCATTTATCTGTATATCACAGGAAAAGCAGAGCTGCATGATCAAATGCACCGGTCAGGGAAATCAGGAAGTTTCAGGATGATAGGCACTTTCAGATCACTCCAGTCAACAGGAAAGCGAGTTTGAGCATGTACTGTTTTAATCCAAGTTTAATGTGCAAATGCTGTATCTGATGA